AAGGGTGGAGGAAGAGTGGGAAATGGTATTGTGGAGGGATTATTGAGGGAGGGTGGAGGGAGGGAGGGAGGGTGGGAGGGAGGGTGAAAGGGTGGAAGGATGGAGATGGAGCGCTATGTCTCCCATAGTTCACACCCCGAAGGAAAAAACAGCCACACGGCTCTATGGGCCCGGAGGCCTCAGTGTTATTAGCATATGCATCATTCGCGCCCACACGAATCCCCCAGGGTCCCTGTCGTATTTAAGTCATTTAGCCGGCGGCTCCCCCGTTCGTTTGACTGGACATTCATAGGAGAGTCATCACACACACACACACATAACCAGCAGAGGCACACAAACGCGCGGCACGCTAAAACCCGCCATCAAGCCTATAATTTATTTAACTTTTGGAGAGACATCCCCAGACTCCCGGATGGGCAGTGGCAGGTGTTGTGTCGTGTGCGGGTTTTTTTTAATTGTTTGGATGTTGTGCACACAACACATGGGTGAGGGGCTCTTGCTGTGATGTTTCGTCTCACCCCACAGCCTTCACCCCACAGCCTCTGGGGGTCAGTTGTTTTTTCAAACACGCCACGTGACGCCACCACACGCCGCCCTGATTCATTGGGAGGCCACAATATCCCAATGTGCCAGAATGTCTCGACGACGCCGGGGTTATGGGGGATGCATTTGCAATACGTCCAAAGCATGATATACACGTCGGGTGCATGCAATGTGGTATGGGATGTGGGGTACGTTTAGATTCTTTATATGGGACAGAGGGCGCAAAGGGTCGTCCAGCTGTGGAGGGCTGGAGAGAGGTGCCGTGGGGGACTCTTTTTAACATCTTTTACACAAACGCTTTCGTGGCGCTTTTGTGGGTAGGAATGCATGTGTTTTGTCTTCTCCCACTTGTGGTGGTGTAAGTTGTTTTGAGCCACACCATCCTGTGGCGCGCAAGCGAGATTTTGTGCGCACGCAGCTGCAGCTGCGTGTGTGCATGTGCATGCATGCGCTCGAACTGCATATTCGTTACCGACCCGTGGGTTTTCCTCTGCCCCGACAACGCCCTGTGGCGTCCTGCTTCCCGTATGCTAGTTTTAGCACATGTGGAACAACTTAGGGCAGAACGATAGGTGTGATGGGAGCGACAAGCAAAGCTGTCGTGCTCAAATGGAGCGCGCTCAAATGGATGTTCGGCGACATGTTGACAACACCACACACAAGCAACTCCACAGACTAAAGCGGGTGATGCGCATATAGACGTGTACATGATTTTTGAGGACATGACCTGGTGTATGGTCCCTTTCCTCTAAGCGGCCGCACAGCCACGGGCGGCTAATGTCCGGACACACCATCATCGAACATCAACCGCCTGGCAAACTGTGCTTAATCAAGCGACATAGCATATCAAAGTGCGGCATCCTCGATATGCATTCGATTACAGCGCATACAATGTCGAAAAAGCTGACAACAACTCAGAGCGGCACCGGCTCATACAACGGCTCGTACAACCACTCCAACCAGCGAACAAACATTCCAAATCACGACGCGACAGCATCTCACGCAGCTGTAATATCG